ACTGCACGGCGCTTTGCAGCGACGCGCTCTGGCACCGAAGCGCTGGTGGTACCAGCAGATCTCGTAGGTTGACGGATGCGCTGGCTTTAGAGGGCGGTTTTCATGGCGTCGTTGATGCTGGCTTCGGCGAAGTTGCGATGCTGCGCCTTTGAGTCGACGCTGGGTGGCCTCCATTTGCTGTACTCGGACGATGAGGGTCGCGATGGTGGCTAGCAGGGCTGTGAGCCGACCTGCTGCCTCGGGTTCGGGTGCCGGCGAGCTGAAGCTGGTTGCGGGAGGAGCGGTGTGCAGCCGGGTGGCTTCGCTCGACTCCATGGTGTGGTCCACGAGTAGCCCGGATCACGTCGGGGTCACCAGTGTAAACTTTGGGAGAGACGGTCGTCCCAGTTTACAGTCATCCGATCGTGGTGATCGGGAAACGTGTTCCTTTCCGAGCAATCGTCAGCCACCAGGGCTCTTCATGTTGCCCTCGCTTCCTCGTCTTCCGTTTCCCTCCAAAGCCTTGTTGCCGATGAGTAGAAGAGTGTGTCTCTTTACAAAATTTCATATTTCACTATTGTACATAAAACACGGACGTTAGACAAAACGTTGAACTGCGCGCATGCGCCCAACGCTTCTGGCCAGACGGTCTAACCAGCACCGTGCTACATGCGCAGTGTGTTTGCGCGGATATGCACACAAGCGGTGGCGCACCGACACCTGCGCAGCAGGTGTGCGCGAGTGTATGGAACTCCTACAGGGGCTCCTGAGGCCCCCCCCCCCGCCAGGAATAGGGTTAAGACGACCAGAGGCCCTCCGTGAAAATGCGGGCGTCACAAGGCCCGGTTTGCATCAAAGGTCAGGTAGCTATGCCCAGTTTTGGCTCTCTGTTGCCTGCCGACGTGTTCCGAGCTGTCGCAAAAAGACGATGTGGTGGCACCCACGCTCCCCCCCCCCCGCCCGGCCAGGGTCCTTCTAACCAGGGATGCGGAGGCGTGGAAATTTCAGACGGCTCCGGCTCCGGCTCCGGAGAAAAAAAAATCGGCTTCGGCTCCGGCTCCGGCTCCGGCTTCGACTCCAGTACTCAGTTCATCCTTTATACAAATAAATACGGGTGGAAAAGAAAAGATGAAGGATTGGTTCACGTTGTTTCTGTATTTGCATAACAAGGCTATTTTGAATACCACATATTTTACTGCCTTGCAGGCACTGTGAAACCGAACTAGGTCAATAATGTTTTCCTCTTCAAAAAAAAAAAAAAAAAACAGCCGGAGTGGCCGCCTTTTTTACCGCTCCGGCTCCGGCTCCGGGCTATATTGTTTCACGGCTCCGGCTCCGGCTCCGGCTCCAGGCAAAATATGCCGGCACCGGCGGCTCCTCCGGCTCCAGCTCCGGCTCCGCACCCCTGCATCTATAACCCGGCTTCTGAGCCACGTACCAACACGCCTAAGGCAGTGTTCGAAGGGACGCAAGCAAACAATAATGACGAAATTACGCCTGTCACTTTTTAGATCAGTTCAAAATTCAGTTCACATAGGTCATCCAAGGTTAAATTTCGCCAATTTTCAGGTCCAATTTCGACAATTTTCAACAAACCACCGCATGATTCGGAAATGAATAGAGCTACAGTACCGGGGAAAAGCGTAGTTAATAGCTCTTTTAACACCCCTTTCGCCGTTTCCATCCTCAGGACATTCAAATCCTTCTCCTCCATGCCGCAAACCCTGATCCGGGCTGGACCTGGACGGGCAACTTTATTCCATGCGGGCGGCTCCCATTGGAGCGCACTGCAGCTCCTAAGGAAGCACACTCATAACCGGGTGCAGTGAGCACTTGGGAGGCTGGTCGGCCTGTCCTGTTGGACAGGCTCAGCCCCAGTGAGTCACCAAGGTGCCCGCCCAGACCAATGTCTCCCTCAATTCCTATCATCCCTCCGGCCCTGAAATGGCCTGTCAGACCGAAAGCCGAAAGGGCCTGGGTCCAACCCAACAAAACAAACAAAGCTCTTTTAACGCACTTTCTGTAAACTGTGCTCAGATTTGACCTAAGCCTGTTAATTGTACACTTTTTATATCGGAACATTTTCATGTTCCTACATCTCTGTAGGCCTGATAGCTCTTCCTGCGAAACATTTTTTGGGTCGAAAATGGCAGAACATGACGTCATTCTGACGTATTTGCGGCCAACCTATCAAAGCCTCTGGAAAAAGGTCACAATGTGTAAAATGGATGCCCGGAGAGGTCCTGAAAGTTTCGTGGCGATATCTGCAGTCATTTAGGAGATAGCTACGGAAGAGGACAGGGGGCCGTTTCGCCCCCCCCCCCTTACGGGGCGCGGGATAACGCCCTTTCAACTCAGGCTTCAAGGGCCCTTTTGCCACTTAAGGGCCCTTTCAACCCAGTCAGTCAAGGGCCCTTTTGACTGCGGATCCCCCCTGAGAGATATCCTAGATACGCCACTGGACTAGGGCATCGAGCCACCACCGGTGATCTTGTTCTTGTTCGGCTCACTTACCGGGGTTACATGAGCGATCCGTTCCAAATACGCCCTACGCTAATGCGCATCAGCTCCCCACAAACGGATCTACGGCACCGGTTACATGAGACTAATTCGTTTTATCTACGTCAAACGGATCTTGTTTGGCTCACCCGGGCTGACTCCTCGACGGCCGGTAATTCGCATCACAAACGGAATAGGATTAGCGTACAGTCATGGCGCAGTTGTGGCATTTACCGGGACGACTGAGCTAAATTTTTAATAATTATATCATTTGATAGGCTCAAAAACATTTAAAATTAACATGAAATCAAAAAATGAAAACAAAGTTTTCTTGTTTTAAGTCAGTGGGCACTGATTCGCCATGCAGCGACAGCAGGGTGGTCAGAAAAAATTATCTATCAAAATATTTCATTCATTTTATTTCACATGCAAAGACTAAACCAAAATACCAACATTTTTTTGCTATATTCTACGAGGCAGCCATTAAAAAAAATGCTTAGTATTTTGCATTTTGACGCTTCCAGTCAGCAAAGAATAGTTCTTGTGAAATACGGCCCGAATCGTGTGCCTCGGACGTTTCGGTTACATGAGCGATCCGTTCCAAATACGCACTATCGCTAATTCGCATCAGCTCCCCAAGAACGCATTCAGTGCACCGACTACATGAGCAAATTCGTATCAGTGACGTCAAACGGATCTAGTTTGGCTCTCGGCCCGATGCGCATTACAAACGGAATAGCATACAAATGTGGCGCACTTCCGTAGCAATAGAGGTGACTAAATTAAAAATTTATTATCTTATGTCTTTTTTGCATTTAATCTGCTCAAAACATTCTCATTTAACTTAACAAAAAAAAGTTGAACATAAAGTCGTCTTGCTTTGACTCATTGGGCAATTGCCTCTCTTGATTCGTCTGTAGTGCTGTCAGAAAAATGTTTCAACTGAAATTATGTGGATATGTACTATTTGGTTTTCACAATATTTATTGTTGAAAACTTGACAATATACCGACATATTTTTTAAATATTATTTCAAAAGAAGAAATTGAAAAAAATACCTATTATTTTGCATTTTAATGTTTCTTTTTGCAAAGAAATAGTTCCTGTAATACGTATCTTGGTCCTATTCGCTTCTAAGCCTGTTTCTCAGCGGATTTTGTTCGGACCGCCGATTCGTATTAGCAGGTGGATACATGAGTCGGTAGTACGCTCCTGATTCGCATTAGCGGTGAATCCGATCGTGATACGTATTTGCTTTGCTCATGTAACCGCGGATCGGATCGCCGATTCGTACTAGCAGGTGGCTACATGAGTCGGTAATGCGTTCCTAATTCGAATTAGCGGCTAAATACGTATTTACTGTGCTCATGTAACCCCGATAACTGTCAAGACCTTGGTCAAGACCACTGAACTCTATAATGTGGAATGCGCATCGGCCGCCAAATGGTGTCCAACGGTGCCGCCATGTTGCGCAGACCAGAAAGCGGCCGCCGCCTGTGCTGGGGAATAGGGAATTCGGGACCTCGATTTACGTTTGCGGTCGCTGCATCCGTTACGCTCAAGCTATGTGGACACGGAACCCGGCATCTTACGCAGAATTGAGTGGAGAACAAGATGAAATCCTAAAAAATCATCAGCTATAAGGAACTAATACGTTAAACCCTTATAAGTCAATGGGGAAATATGAAAATTGTTATTTTGGCGCCGAGAATGATCTGAAACTATCTCAAGCATATAAAATCATGATTTCATGCACTCTTTGCAAGGTTCTATGCTTCATATTTGCATTGTTGCCCTTGCGTGACGTCATTTGTGACGTCACAAGGGTCACCATTTTTCTTCAATAACTCCCGATCAAATTGAGCTAGCGAGTCGGGAAAGCCACCAATGGACTCAGGAAGACCTGCCGAATCGAATGATATGCGACATGACCTCTTCCGACCAACTTCGTGGCCTGGGGGTGCTGACCTGACCTTGACCTGAGGTCAACACCCTAAGTTGACCTGACCCGAACAAAAAGTATATCACTCGATGCGCCTGAGCTAGCTGAACACGATGATGCCAAAATCGCGGCTCTACGGCCATTTTTGGCGAAGTTATTTACCAAAAACCGAACCCGTGCCTTAGATCACTTGACCTGACCTCAGAGGTCACCGGTTGACCTGAGACCCTTACAGCGGGTTCCTACCAGTCACTCTGCATTATACTTTGCCGCATACGACCACTTTACCGCTTAATTCTAGTTTAATTAGCGGTGCATTAGCGAGGTGGGTTCAATCAACCCCCTCGGCCGGGGCAAATGTAGGTCAGGCGAGTAAATTTGAGGAATTCTGAAGATACGATCGTGTTCCCCACTCAATTCTGCGTAAGATGCCGGGTTCCGTATCTACGTAACTTGAGCGTAACGGATACGGCGGCCGCAAACGTAAATCGAGGTCCCGAATTCCCTATTCCTCAACACAGGCGGCAGCCGGTTTCTGGTCTGCGCAATATGGCCGCCACCGTTAGACACTACGGCCAATAGGGTTGAAGCGGCATTGCTCCCCTGTGGTCAAGACTCACAAGACCATTGATTAGCTTTTTCCCCCAACGAACTGCCAAATATCACGAAACCATGGCCTGAGCCAGAGTCGTGGAATGAATGGAATGAATTTCATTTATTCATTCATTCATTCATTCATTCATTCATTCATTCATTCATTCCCCAGATGGCCTTTGATTCATTCACTCATGAATGCTTCCGCCGTTATTTCGTCTATGGTGGGGCTCCTTACAAAAGAAAAAGTTGTGGTGCATTAAGAACAGGTGCGCCATTTATGGGTTTTGTCAACAAATCTCAGCGCGTGCCGCGTTGTAGTGCGAACGGTGCGAACCCCGCCCTGAAAGATTGCACCTGTGTATTTTTTGTTATTTTTCGTGGCAAGGTGCGACTGCTTCGTGAGTATTTTATTTTCTTCATAAATATTGAGAACCCAGAAAGGTCTGAACATGCTTAAACCTCCTGATAGCTGTTGTAATAGCCGTGTAGCTGAGTTTGTTATGCCATGTGACTCACTGCTGCTTGAATGACTCAGACTGGAAAATGCCTCGAAATTTCAAAACCATATAAATTGTCTTTAAAATGTTGTGCCTGTTTCATGTCATTTTCTTTCAGCAGAGTTTGAAAAATGGATGATATATTTCAATATGTCCGAGAGGGCAATCCGTTTCACGTCCGCGTCTGGCTGGATGATACAGAACATGACATGAATGAAGGGTAAGTACATATTACCACTTGGTAGTTGGCAATTGAGCACTGCTTTGTGCTGTGATTCGAGTACACGAACCACAGTGGGACTGAAATCTGAAACTGTTATATGCTGCTGGATGCCGTTATCGTCATATTAAAAAAAAAGATCCTGCACCGCCATATTTGTTTAGTTGCTTGTGGGTACTATTTTCCTATTTACTGTAGCTGTTAATAAAAATCATCGCTATCATGTGTGTCATGTGTTTTTTCTTCCACATAACTAGGTCATGCATGCATTCCACGTTACGCCAGTGTACACCCTGTCTGACTCGTGTGCCGTGTGTGCTGCGCAGCGACGACCACGGGTTCAGCCCGCTGCACTGGGCGGCCAAGTGCGGCCACGCCGGCATCGTGGAGATGCTGATCCAGCGCGGCGCCAGGGTGGGCGCCACCAACATGGGCGACGATACGCCGCTGCACCTGGCCGCCGCGCACGGACACCGACCCGTCGTACAGCTGGTGAGGGAGGAGAGATGAGCTGACCCGACCTTACCTGACCTGACTCGACCAGTTCTGACCACATCTGACCTGACTTCAGATCCAACCTCACTGGTCCTGATTTAATACGCTAAAAGATCACGAATTGTGTCATAGTTATGCTGCTGTTTTGCCTGAAGTCACCCTGAACCAACGCCGACCGTGATGGTATTGCCGTTTTCAGCTGCTGCGTACGAAGGTGGACGTGAACCTAACGAACGAGCACGGCAACACGCCGCTCCACTACGCCTGCTTCTGGAGCTACCAGGGCATCGCCGACGACCTGATCCAGGCCGGCGGCATCGTCACCATCTCCAACCGATTCGGTGAGAGAGAGCGGGAGGGGTTTGGTGAGAGGGGAGAGAGAGAGAGCTTCGGTGAGAGATGAGAGAGCTTCGGCGAGAGTGGAGTGCGAGCGGGAGAGGATGAGCTTGGGTGAGACTGAGAGCGGGAGGACTTTCGTGAGAGCAGGGAGAGCTTTGGTGAGAGCGCTTCCGCTCTCCCGCTAATGAGCTTTGGTGAGAGCGGGGAGACTGGATGGTGGAGGGGCGTGGGGCTAACTATCAGATCGCAGGTCGGCTGCCTTAGTGCTGAGCTAGGCTGTGTCAGCGCCTGGCTATCACTGCTGGGTTGGGCCGTGTTTCTGCTGAGTTAGTGCTCAGATGTGATTGTGTTTGGTGAGATGGATGAGCTTTTATTGTATTGACCAAAATCTTTATGCATTATTTGTAAATGACACAAATTTTTGGCAACGCACAAAACTTACAAAGTGATAATTGCCTTTGTAACCATTCCCTGTGTCGTGTGATAGGTAAGACGCCGCTGGACTACTGCAAGGGCTCGATGGCGACGCGTCTGCACGAGCTGGCCGTACAGATGGGCCAGGAGCTGCGGAGGATCGAATACAAGGACCAGAGTTGGCTGGGCATGAAGACGCGCAGCCGTGAGTAACGCTGACAGGGCCAGTCGTACTTCCTTTCCCTAGGCGGATTGGTAAAATATGCAGTGACCCACAGAAAGCGTTCCTTTGTCTGCAGTTTCACATCTGAAGTATCAAGCTTTCAATATTTTGCTGTGCAATGCGTTTTCTCGATCACTGTTAATTGACCGCGTAATTTCCGTCCGTTTAATTTGCGTAACTGGGGGTGGACGTTCGCCTGTTCTTGTGTCAAAATAAACGTACAACACTCCTTTAACATCATAATACTTATTGTCTTTGATGTCCATATCAAACCCAACACCGTATTTTGTCCCTGATTTCTTCCTCCGGCCCACAGGCGACGCCACGCTATCCCGTCACAAGGGTATCGCCATCAACGACCTGAACCTGCACGTGAAGGTCGCCACCTCGCCGACCGGCGAGACGTGGCGCGGCAAATGGCAGGGCAACGACATCTGCGCTAAGATCCTGGCGCTGCGCGAGTGCACGCCGCGCGTCAGCCGTGACTTCAACGACGAGTTCCCCCGGCTCAGGTGAGGACGCGTGAGTTCCTGAGTTCCCAGCTGCTCTGACGGAATTCGCTCTCCGTGGGATTTGAGTTCTCCCGGGCCGTTGTGGTGATGGTGCTGTGAATAGGTTGACCCAAGATGGATGGATGTACTGAGAAAGAGCTGGGACAGATTGCGATGAAAGCAATTGAGGTTTGTAAAACTGGATGATGTAAAACTTGGCCGGATCTGATAGTTGAAATTAACCGTGATAAGCGATAAAAATTGGATGGTATGATGGTGCCGTCACCTTGTTCCGTTCTCTGTCAGGATTTTCTCCCACCCGAACATCCAGCCGGTGCTGGGCTGCTCCAACTCGCCGCCCAGTCTGGTGGTGGTCAGCCAGTTCCAGGAGCACGGCAGTCTCTACGACGTGCTGCACCGCGGCTCCGGTGTGGTCGTTGACACGGCGCAGGCGCTGCGCTTCGCGCTGGACGTGGCGCGCGGCATGTGCTTCCTGCACCGGCTCGAGAAGAACGTGCCCAACTACCACCTCAGCAGCCGACACGTCGTGGTACGTGCGAACGGCGGGCGGGATGGCGCAGACCGGTGGGGTGGGATTGTGACTTTCATTTTCAGTTCTTTATCTCTAAGTTCATAACCATTTTATAGTTCGCTACTAACATTAACTACTGTCCTACCTGGAAATATTCCTCAATACTATATCCTGGTTCTATCCGGTACGCTGTTGTCTTTCCGTTCCACTACCACGCTTAGTACTCCATTGTCTTACCTACCAACTCTGAAGACATGAAAGTGGCAACAAGACATCTACGGACGCTCTGAGCCCGATGAGGCTATGCGCCCTAACCCACGACCAAGACCAAGGGATTGTGACTAGAGATAAGTGATGACGTTTTGATTTCGTCATTTAGATTTGATTTGATTGATTTGACCCCTTCATGGGCCTGCTTCGTGTTCCACTCTGATTACCATTTCCATTTATTACGCAGTAGGTACGAGTATTTCACTGTTTTCCTGCACGGGAGTGTAGCCTGTTACGCACCAGAATGTGCTGAGGTGCTAGACATTCAACACACCAGCTCGCCTCGTCTTACTGCATTAAGTGAAAATAATGTTCTCTTTTGCACAGCTGAGGTTTATGTTTTCATTCAGTCGTGTTTGATCTATCACTTCTCTCCGTCAAAGACGAGCTGGGTTTGCAGTCGCGAGAAGTCGGGCGTGGTTGTTATCTCAATAAACACTACCCCGCGTGTCTGAGTCATTGCCCGAGTTGGCATCATTCCCAGGCTGTGAGAACTGGGTCTGTGCGTGGGCACTTGGCAGGACGCTTGAGGCGTTTTCTCAACTACCTTCCGCATCTCAACGTCAGTGAAGTAATGCCTACATACAAAGTAAAACTTTCACTTGGTATCACTGCACAGGTTCTGAGTCTGTGTGGGCCACTTTCTTCCTCAGATTGACCAGGATATGACGGCCCTGCTGAACATGGCAGACGCCGAGTTCAGTTTCCAGAACAAGGGCAAGATCTACCACCCGCAGTGGTACGCACCTGAAGGTAAGGCGATGAGCTCGGCCTGGCATCTGCAACACTTATTGCATACGACGGCGTTTCAGTTCGATACACAATGCTATTTGCTGGGTCTAAGTATCCCAGTACCGTCCGAGCATATTTTTTTTCTTTCTTTTTTCTTTTTTTTTCGATAATTTTCTCTCTGGGACACTGCAATGACTATTTTTTTCAGCGCTGGTCGTTATACTTAGCCATGACAGGTCAAAATATTAGGTTGATAACCGTTAAACATCGCCAACTTGATCCGTTCAACACCGTCCTAGCCCGGAACCGCCCCCATTCGTGAACACTTTGTAACCCCACCCTGCCCCGTTGTCTGTCTTGCAGCGCTGCTGAAGAGTCCGTCGCAGATCAACCGGCACGCGGCCGACATGTGGAGTTTCGCCGTGCTGCTCTGGGAGATGGCCACCCGAGACGTGCCGTTCGCCGAGTACTCCGCCATGGAAATCGGTGGGTTCCAGTGGGATTGGTGGATGTGGTTTGATGGGAAAGGTAAGATTTGTTGACATAGATGTCATATGATATAGATGTCACCTGATATCTATATCATATCATTTTGACATTGTGATGACATTGATAGATATTTGGCAGGACGTCCTTCTTGGAGAATACATATAATCTATTTGCTCTGGTGAGCGGAATCGGTGGGTTATGATGCGCCCGGTTTCTGATGGGCTGGATCTGACTGAGTCTTCGAGGGAAAACCGAGGGAATCATGTGCAGCTGGGATGTAGGGGTTTGTATTGCGCAGCAGAGACGACTATAGAATACAGTCTACAGGTGCAGCTAAGGGCGTCTTCCAAAATAATTATTTTATATCAGCTGACTAAGATGGCAGTCGTCCACATGACTTACGGTCCCACCCCTTCCTCAGGTATGAAGATCGCCACGGAGGGTCTGCGACTGGTGACACCTCCGGGCATCTCGGCACACATCTCCCGGCTCATCTCCATCTGCATGAACGAGGACCCCAAGAAGCGGCCCAACTTCGACCAGATCGTGCCCATCCTCGAGAAAATGGTCGACAAGTAAGCGTTCAGCGTGAGTCGCCGGCGGCCCGGCCCTCCCGCTGGATGTCGCTGTGTTCGCCGTGCGGCGGTCGATCCCCCACACCCACCCGTCCCTCCTTCACAAACACAGCGGTGGTCGGTGGTGCATTGGCTCAGATCCACAGCCACTGACCCTCCGCCCAAAGCTTTGACCCAAGCTGCTTATCGTCGTCTTTCGATGGAACCGTGGCCGACTTATACGCCATGCCTTATTTTTGCTGGCGTGCAATCCGAAGTATTGTCAGCAGCTTCCTCTAAGTCGACAATGATCAAGTTTTCTCTGGTTGATTTTTTTATTTATTTAGCTGTATGTTTATTCTTGATGGTTTATTCGATGCCCAGTGCTCATTGCTCATGCACAATGCACAAAGTTTTTTTTTTAACTATGAGCTTATAGTGTTTTGGGGTTGGGCAGAAGTCTTCGTTTTCTTAAATTCTACTACGATTTCGCACTTCACTTCCGTGTTCATTGGTTCCTCATTCGAAAGCTTCCTTGAATCGAAAGATGACCGAAATTGGCACGGTCTCTTTCTTTGAATATATCCTATTGTCGTCACTCCTTCCTTTGAGAGCTTCCGTGGGCACGCGGCCGTGAGTGCCGGCCCTGCCAAACTCCCCCGACGGCCCCCGTCTCCCAGATGGCTGCTGACGGGCCGTCCCCGCCGAATGGTTGACTCAGACTCACAGCTGGAGCTCCGGCTGACCGGAGGTGTTCCCGCTCGGAGCGGACTAAGTGTAGGAGTAGTCTCACCCTCCACTGGTGCCAGTCTGCACCCACCGCCGACCGGCGCGGCGGCGGCGGCGGCGGCGCACGGCACCGTGTCGGTAACCTTGGTAACCGCGTCTTTGGAGTCGTCTGCTCTCCGAGGATTAACACCAAATAATAGTCATTGACATGAAGCGAGACGCGCGCGATATTGTGCTGCCATAGCTTAGCGATGGTGCTTGTTGTTAATATTTATGTGTATTATTTCGCCGGCTTTACATCGGATCGACAATTGGCGAGTGTCGTTTTTTTGTTGACGCAATTATCACAGAAAACAGCTGCAGGTCCATTCAACAGAATGGCGAACGCTTAGCCTAAATCGGAATCTCCTGGTGTTTTGTTCAGGAATTTTGTGTCGTCTGTCTGTCTCATTGGTGCCAGTTTGCCATTCACGTCTGGTTGGCCGCTCGACCACTCATTTTATATAGCATCACATTTCGTCCACAGCTGCTGCTTGTAGTTTCGATGACGCGAGTGTCGGCGAGTTTTGCATGTGTACCGTGGTGCTAACGTTGTGCCTTCGATAACGTGATGTGAACGTCACAATATTGGCCTTAATATAAATGGTACTAACAGCCATTGTGTTTCACTGTTGCAGTCAGTTAGGGTCTGCGGTTTAGCTGCTTCATTTTCCTGAAGCGGTATTTTTCGTGAGTAAACCTGTTCCTCGCTTCGTTCTGTTCGTATTCGGATTTGAACGCTAGGGCTTCATAACGGGCGTTCCTTGCCTGTGCTCTTGCCGGAGAGCTCATTTGGGAACGTGGTCTACTCATTTCGTCCCAACTCTGTTCTCCGTTCACACACGCTGTGCTATGTATAATGTATATATATGCACATATGACTAATGCGCTGCCCCGCCAGCGCCCGCCGACTCACACACAGCGCGGAAAGAACTCATTACTGACACACGAGTGAAGGTGGCAAGTCGCTCGGACGCGCCCACGTGCCTTACCAATGTTCGCGTCACTAACGAGCACATCGTCCACCAGATGCCGACACATGAGTTCAAAGTTCTGCAGTATCAGCAGAAATACACACGACATACAAAATGACGCGAAAATGCGTACAAATGCGGCACTCACACACAACGCAATGCAATAAGATGTGTTTTGTTCACCTGTGAAGGAACAACTCAAAACGTTCATTTCTTGGTCCCGTCCAACACTCAATGTCACACAGTCCCTCCTTTAGCCCTGTAATAAAATACATCTCACAGTTCATTCACCCATGGACCAGTTCCCTATTCACATTTGAAAGGAGTTTTCGATGTTTCTTAGGGCGTGTCGCTGCCAGCCTGTGGCACGCGTCACGTTATCTGAGCTTCAAACACAGCATGACTGAGACAGCTCACTGAATCTGCGAACCTCATCACCTCGTCGGCTCATCTTTGGCCGAGAGCCTGGGTGTCCACGTCCTTCACATGTACTGCTGAGGCGGAGCATGTCTCAGACATCCTGCTCTCGTCCAGTACTCCACAGACTGATCCATCTCTGCCTGACGTGGCGTTCGCTTTTCAGCTTCCCGCTGCTGACCCCGTCCTCTCCCCGCACGCTCCGCTCAGGCCTCCGTCAGTCCCTCCTGGCGTACTGCGGGTAGAGGCCGCTGCTGTTCCACAGGTCGTCACAGCTCTGGTGGCCAGACACCGTGCCGATGCCGTCGTCCACGACGTACACCTTGTCGGCCGCCGACGCGTCCAGCGGCAGCCGGCCCTCGCGCACGAACTTGTAGAACATGTGCTGCATGTTGTCGACGAACTTGCGCTGCTCGATCGTCTCGGCTTTGTACACGCCCAGGATGGCCTCGATGTCGGAGCGCGCGTCCGCGATGAAACCGGTCTCACCTGTGGAATGGTGAGCTGGTTAGAACACACAGACATTGAATCAGTATGATGGAACTGTTTGCGAGCACAGAAGTTATGCTGAAATCATCGAGTTATTGGATGAGTAGCTTTCGTACCGTTCATTGTAAATCTAAACCAGTTAGCGTCATTCCGTTTTCCTCTTCGTATTCCACGCAATCCTCACACAACTCAGCGCCTTTCATTCTCACGAACACCCCTTCCGCACCACACATTGAGACACGCACACGCCACCCTTCCCTCTCCACAGAGGCTCATTGCGACTCACCGTGCCGCTTCTGGGCAGCCAGGTAGAAGTAGGCCCGGTTGGTGAAGTGGCCGGCGGCGCGGCGAGCGGCCGCGTACAGCGGGCACACGGTGCGGACGTCGCTGACCATAGTGGCGATCTGGGTCCACGGGTCGCCGCCGTGGCGCAGGTACAGCCGCGTCGCCCGGTCACGCTGGTGGAATAGAGGGGACATACTGTTATCGCACGGGCTTAGGAGAGTAGCAGATGCCTACTGGTTGTTGGTAGAGTGGTGGCAACTGCTGATTTTGTGAACATTTAGCGGTGATATTGCTCGATACAATTGGCAGCAGGAAACAGCAGACTTTATTACCCGTTCCATGGGAATGTTTATCATATTGTTTTGGCTTGGGCATCGTATTTGATCATTCCTTCTCCACCATGGATACCATTGTCATTCAATTCTTAAATGAGGAGTTGAGGTACCGCTCAACTCACCAGCTCTCCGGGGAATGTTCCCAGCGTGGTGGCCACGTACGACTCGGCCACAGAGCTGACGTTCCACTCGCGGACCCCGTACAGGTCGGGCGCGCCGTCCTGCTGCGCGTTCACGCCCAGCACGATCAGCGGGTCGGGCAGCTCGCGGCGCCGCTCCTGCGACTCTGCCCACGCGTCGTGCACGCTCTCCGTCAGCAGAAAGCCGTCCCGCACCAGCCAGTTGTGGCGCGGCTCGTTCAGACGCGGCAGACCTGGCGCGCCGAGACGGGGCCGTGTCAGGTAGTTGGTTAGGTTGGGGGATGATATGGCAGCAATGACACGATCATGATAACGTTATAGATGGTTGATATGCTTACTAAGACTGAATGTGCACACACACACAAAACAGCAACATAAAAGTGCATGATGTGTTTTGCGCTAGTGGCACACTGAAACAGCAGACATTTATATTCGTCCGCTGCAAACGGCCTTCTGCTAACCACCTCTGCCGACCCTCTACTAACATCCCACCCTCCCTTTCCGTCCTTCCTCTCTCTTCCTCAGGAGTCGAGTCAAAGGGAAGTTCCTGGCGGACATCCCCGGCGTCTGCCTGTGATCCACCCTCAGCCGGTGACCTCTGCCGACCCTCACCTGTGGGTATGCGGTGCCAGACGCGCGGCACGGCCTCCAGCAGCTGCTGCACGGTGCGGTTCCTCAGGCAGCGCGCGTCGGCGCAGTCCACGTACGACAGGTACTGGGCGTTGTTCTCGGACGCCTGCCGCAGGTCCGGCATGGTGAAGTTGTCCAGGTGACCGGAGCCGCCCGTCAGCCACATGTTGGTGTAGAGCTGCTTGGAGCGTGGCACGGCCGTCAGCAGCGACATGAGCGTGGCGCCCGACTGGTGTCCCAGCAGCGTGACGCGCTGCGCCGAGCCGCCAAAGTGCTCGGCGTTCAACGAGAGCCACTCGAGCGCCGCCAACAGGTCCGAGAGGCCGTAGTTGCCCGAGGCGTGCGGGTGCGAGGCGCGCGACAGCACCTCGGACGCCAGGAAGCCGAGCACGCTGCGGCGCACGCGCACCGTCACAAACACGACGCCGTGCCGCCGGGCCAGCTCGGGCTCGGGTCGCAGCTCTGCCAGGGTGCGGCCGCTGAGGGTATCTCCGCCGACAAACACCACCACCGGCAGCGGCTCGGTGAACGGTACCCGCGGCGTGTAGATGTCCACCGTCAGGCAGTCCTCGGCGCCACCGGCCGGCGTGCCGTCGGCGGCCAGGTGCGGGCACGCGGCGCCCGGCGGCCCGGTGGCCTCCAGCACCCCGGTCCAGCAGCTGGAGAGGCCCGGCGGCGACTCGGCCGTCTGGAACCGGCGGCGGCCGACCGGAGCCAGCGCGTACGGCACGCCGTGGAACACGAACGCCTCCTTCTCCACCCGGCTGGCGGCGCACAGAGGTCAGTCAGAGGGGTGGTCAGGGGGCAGTCAGAGGGGGGCTCAGAGGGTAAGTTAGAGGGGCGGTCAGGGGGCAGTGAGAGGGGTCTCAGAGGAACGGTCAGGGGAAGTCGACTGATTGTCACTGGGTGGTCAGAAAACGTCGATCACGGGATGTCACTGTTGTTAAATGGCTAAGAATTGTGACAGCAACGTAATTCCTGGATATATCGGGACAGGTGTTGTGTTCAGTCGGTAGTTGAATACCTTGGATGTAACCACAATGCAAATCGCGACACGTTCTTTGATAACAATGGTGAATACCTGAGAGCGAGTTTCAGTGTACAATAGACACGTAACCGAACAGGGAGGTAATAAACCCGAGTACTACGAAGCACACCAGTAAATACGAGTATGCATGCAATAATCAGTACTCACTAATCCGTTCCGTCATTGAGCACCAATCCTCGGCCAGACCGTCACCAAACAGTAAACACCTACCGCAGCCCCACGTTACAATATCCTTTTCCTGACGTTACGAAAGACTCACCCTCTGACCAGGCCGCAGGAGGCCATTGTCTCCACGTGTTCGTCGCTGACGATGCGCGCCGTGGCGTCCCAGAGGTAGGAGGCGTGTCTCCGGCGGCCGGTGGTGCCCTGGTGCGTCACCGCCACGATCACAATCACCAGGAACGTCACCAGCGCCAGGAGCACTGCGGGGTAGCGGCGAACACACGGTGAGTCGGGCAGGGCGGGCCCTGGGTGGGTTGGACCGCGGGCTCTGAGCGGATGGGACCGATGCTACCATATTTGAATCAGCAGTGATAAGTAGGGATGTGTGTTTGTGTATGTTCTGTACTTGCAGTGTGATGTGAGGTAGATAACGGGACTCGCTGGCGTTGAAGGAGTAGCCTGAGTTTAGAATGCGAGAATGGATGTGGTATTATGCTAAGATTCTCGAGTGGATCAGTGATAAATAATGTGTTATGTTAGATAACTCCTGGCTCATTAATATGTGTACGATCCTAAGGGGCCCTTCTGGTATGATTTCGCTGTCACGCAATCTTCTTGTATCGTAAACTTTGTTTCAAGCTGAGCGTGAGAGAATGCAATTGGTATAATGAGCCCATGTGGCCAATTATCCCTGCAGGTACACACACGTTAAAAACCAATTTGAAATCACCACACGGCAATGCGATAAACATGTCATCTTACTGAAAAATTCGGGCATCAAAATACTGCACTCGACCGCGGAGAATGACACTATCATTAGATCATCGAAACAGCATAAAGAACGATAGAAAACACTGGGAAAGCTCAGCAGAGTAGAGTTAATATTGTTTGCATCATTTCACATTTAAAGGTCAAATAACTTTGGTCCTTTTTATGACGGCGTTACGGGCTCCATTTATGGAATTCGAGCTAGGCTCGGTCTAGTCGGCTCACCGATGATGATTTTCGTTTTGGACGGCGCGCAGGTGCGCGTGCTCTGATCGTCGGCACCTCCCTCTGGGTCGGCGTCAGCGGCCAGTCGGCTCAGCGTCGGATCGGGCACTCCCAGAGAGACCATCCGCTGAGACTCGCTGGTGGTCTCTACTGTGTGGCGCCGCTCCTGTCGCACAGAGGTCAGCGGGGGTCAGAGGTCAGCCAGGGGTCAGGGAAGGTTGGCAGAGGTCAGAAGAGGCGAGGGTGAGGTCGCGGTGGACGACACTCCTGTTGGACATGGGTCGTCAGGTGTCGCGGTAGGTTTCTGGTCACTCTGTGGCGTTAATGTCGAGCGGAGAGCCACTGCTGAAGTCATTGGGAGGAATGTGTCCAGTGTCCGTCCATCGTGAACGATTCTGAAGGGTGAAGCGGAGGGCGAAGATTCTGGGTAGTTAATCGTTTTTCTGAAAAAAATGATTATGCATTCCAAAGTGAAGTCCTACTGAAAGTCACTTGCAGTAAGTACCTAATACTCCGCGATCATAATATGAACCCCAGAAGCATTTGATCATGACTAATGACTATGCCCTGATGCAGGATCGGTCTGATACTGCCAGTGAACGTGGAACCCAGGTTCACTGGCAACCTGAACCCAGGTTGCCTGCGCCGCGCAGGTGTGGGTGACGCACGGTTTTTATTAAACGTTTTGCGGTCGGGAGAGCAGACACCTAAATTGAGAACGGAAACACCCGACCTGCCGCTGGGCTGGCAGTGCGCGCCATGCAGTGATCCGATAGTCACAGGCAAGATTGATAGTTGCATTAATGTCCGCTCACGAGTTAATTGCTCGTGATGACGGGTTTGGTGTGAACTGTCGGCCGGCGGTGGCGCTCGCTCGCCGGGGACGGCGGGTACTCACCACGACCTTCTTCCTGGGCGGTGAGAACATGCTGGTGAGCCGGTCGGTGAGCCGTCGGAGGGGTGAGCTGGCGACTGGTCGGCCGGGGGCGGACGATAGGCCCGGTACCTGCAACAGTCAGAGAAACGAGATACAGTGAGAGAACGACGGTGTGTAGAGAGGGGTCCGGGGCTTGGGTAATGGCAAAAGCCGGGACCAGTGTCTGATCTATTAGCCACTTATTTCTGTATCTCAGCATTGTTATGGCAGAAATGTTGTAATGGAACGGAAGCTAAGTTCAGCCCTCTGGTTTGTCCACTAAAAAGTGTTTATTTAAAGCGGTCCTCCGACGTGACCGCGCAAAATCCAGAGCGATCTCCTAGTTCTGCGAAATCTCCCAAAATGCCACTAGTGGAGGGCAGGTCATGGATGTCGCCCTCGCTTCCCAGGCCCCTGGACAATCACAGGAGCACATCGGGCGCACAGTGTACAGCCGGCAGTGGCTGTGCACTGCACTGGGAACGGCGCTGACCCGGCCGTGCAATCGTCGGACCGCTAGGCGGCCTCGTGCACCGTCAGACAAAACATTTCATGGAACACAATCGCGCCGACTGTCGGTGGGTGCACGTGAACAGCGCCGAGGAAGTGGCGCCGATTAGATCGCGGCGATCGCCACCAGAGCTCCCAGCTCGGCCGTTTGTTGGGCGCCGGCCGCCGCGGCGGCGCGAGGGTCGCCGGCCGTGTCATTACCGCCCTGATTGCCTTTGTTGGCACCTGGGAGAGCGCATGGAGAGCATGGCTCGGACGACCTTGGACGGCCTGCAGTCGCCGGCGACAGCCAGACCGTGGCATTCCTATCACACTGGCCGCAGTTGAGTCACACCGACACAATCTCAGAGACCGGCGCGTCGGGTTTTGATGGCGGCATTTTTCCGTGGGGAGGACCGCAGCTATTCAGCGCGGGGACCGGCCCGGTCTGTCCGGCGGTGTCTGCGGTGGGCCGGGCGGACGCTGTTGCCGCTGGAGCCTCTGGTGCCGGCGGTGCTGTTTGCGGTGGTGCCGGCGAGCAGCCCCGGTGCGGGAGCCGGTTCCCACAGTGGGCCCGGCGGCCGCTGCAGGCCTCCTCACCGCCCGGCCAGAATGGGCCGCCGACCAACCACACGGAGGGTCTGATGGCCGTAATGAGTCGGCTGCCGGCGGCGCGGCCGACCTGCCGCGGACCCGGTCACCAGCGCGTCGGTCGGCGACTCCGCCGCTACCGGCCGCGTCAGACACCGCCGCAGCAGCGGGGAGCGACGGCCGGCGGTCTGGTGATTGGCAGAAATAAAACAAACACAGACACACCGGTATTACAGGGGCGGCGAGCGCCGATGAGTAACAGTGGTAATTGGTGTAATGTGTAGGTATCCGAGGGACAAATGGAATGTCTATTGTCTAGCCTTGAACGGTGCTTTTCTTGCCATATCTTTAGCCCCTTTCCTTCCTTCGCCGCCATGCAGTTTACAATGCTGTTGCAAGGAAATCAACAAAAATAGTTGTCGTTTGCACTTCGACAGAAACGATTTCCAACTGACAAACAGCCGGACAAATCGATGTTTCCCAGAAGGACACCGGTCACGCTGGCTGATTTGTTTTTAATCGCCCCGCCACGCTGTGACAAATTGGCGTCGGCTCGGCTCGTGGCGTGGTCCTCGGCCGACAGGTGTGCCGGGCCGGTCGGACGGCCGCCGACCGCGCCTCCTTCGCTGCAGCAGCCGCCAGTCGCTGATTATCCCGGTATGAGCATCAATAGCCGGCGGGCGGGCGCAGCTCTGGATTACATTGGTATGCCATTCATGTCGATCTTGCGTGCGGTCAGCTCGTAGTTCGCAGCATCCGGCGACCAGCAGTGGCGGTGTAACGGACGGCCGCGCCCGCCCTCCGATCTCTGCGCCGCGCCGAGCACCGACTAAACGGCCGCGTGACCCGTTCGTCATTTTTATTGAATGAGATGGCCTGTCGCTTAGAATGGCCTTTCTAGTTAAACGTCGTTCATTATTATGCGGACGGAAAAGAAAGTCGAATTGCCACGAGGCGCTGTAAAATTGCAGCCAGCAGCTCGGGTCCACCCCATCAAAAGAAACTGTCGCCGATGAATGTCCTATCTCCTCATTGAAATGCCGTTTTTCTCTCGGGCATCGCGGCTATCCTGGTTGTCCGTGTCGTCGCTGAACTATCGTGCCCGACTCAAATCGCTCCGTCGAGCGACATGCCACTGTTTTCGCCGTCCGCTGCAGCACGGGAGCCGAGAAGGGAGCCGCGCCCTTCGGCGGGCGCCGCTGGAAGCCCCGTCGCGGAAATTATTCAGCAATATGAAGGGCAGTCACGGACGTATGCACATGAGCGGCGGCCACTGGCTACCCTGGTTACGGGCGCGCCTGCTCACGGGACCCGCGCCAGAGACGGTGAGCGGCGGGCAGGCCCCCGGTGCACGCCGCCGGTCGCCGGGGCACGGTATCTTTGTCGCCCATCGGCACACCGCGTCCTGAAGTGGACGCTCGTGCCGGCGCCGGCGAGCGGACGGCGGCCGCGGTCACGCTCAGCTCTGACTGCTCCGTGACGGTCCCGTCACCGCCACCCGGACCGGCGGCACGCCCGAGCCCGACTCACAGACACACAGTCAGACAGACGGCGGGCGGGGCGGGGCGGGCGGCGCGGCGGGCGGCCACCGGACGTCAGTCGGCCGCGCCGGCCACCCGGAGGTCGACGGCGCCGCTGTTTTCCTGGCCCGATCGGCGATACCTGCACGCCAAATGTCACGCCCGGCGCCTGGCCTGATGGCGCCGCCACCGCCGTGATCGGGGGTCGGTCGGCGGCCACTAACGACATCCGGCCGGCGGAGCGCCGACAACAGCTCCCCGCGCGGCGTGACTGACAGACCTGCGAGGCGGTGAGCGGTGGCGGCGGCGGAGCGGCGGCGGCAGCTGCTGGTGGCTCCGCGCTGTAACCCTGTCTGCGCGCGCCGGGCGACCGCGGAACCGCCGCGCCGCCCGGCCAGGTGTGTGAGGTCGTGCTCGGCCGGCCGGCCGTGACGCCGCGGTGTCACCTTCTGCGGCTTCGGCAGGTGATCGCGGACCCGTTCCCCGGCTCCCCCTCGCCGCCAGCGCCCTGTTCGTGCTCACTGACTCAACACTTTCACATCACGAGCGGCGGGTGGCCGGCGCGCCGGTTCGTCATCTGCTCCCGTCCGCGGCACCTGGATGTCGTGCAATCTCGTGACGCCGCGCCGATTTTCCTCCGTCACGACTGCGTGACGCTATCTCGATCTCGGGCCGGCCGGCTGATCTGACCTCCGGTCCTCTGACCGGACATTTCTCTCCGCGCCCTGCATGCCTGTCGATCCAGACCGGCGGCATCCCGGCTCTTTAGCGGCAGCGGCGCGGCCGGCGGCGGTGCTCTGCGCGATCCTCCCCCCGGTGACCTTTGACCCGAGCGCGGGGACTGCAGAGCAGGCCGCCATCAGGACCGGCTCCTCCGGGTGCCGCTGCAGGCAGACCTGGTCCGACCTGCGCGGCTCTGAGAAGACCCGGTGATCGGAGCAGCGCGACAGGGGCGGGCACGAAACGCAGTGCCTCAGACGGGTCTCGGGACAGTGAAAAGGAGAGACAGAAGGTCGAGGAGCGCTGAACTACCGCCGGATATCGGGCGATGAGCTCAGGAGACAGCTGCTCTCAGCGCTGATAGCTGTCCGTCCCATTGATCACACGAATGTTAATTGATGGCAGGAGCGCCCCACAGGGTGATCGGCATTCCGCGGCCGCTTTTTACGGGAATGCAGCTCACAAAGGGCCTATAATGGTCCGTTCAGCAGCCGTAACCCGCCGGGTCGGGCAGCAGCGCTGTGACCTTCGTCACCTCTGTCCCCCGGGCTGGCGCTATCGGTGCGTGCAGCGATGCTAACCGCCGGCAGTTTACGTTCGATTTGGCGGTGTGTGTTGATAGGCCTGACGAAATGCGCCGACAGTGGGGAGTAATAACCCCGGGCTCCAGGTGGTGAAAGGGTGGACCGATTCGGCCCTGCATTCCTCCTGGATCCGAAGGATTACCTCGACATTCGATCTGAGGCGGGGCTGCGCCGACCAAAAACAAATATTGTCCCAACGCGCATTACCGTTCTGCCGCACCGGTGCCAAGAGCTTTAGAGCCCTTTGACGGCGGCGCCGGGCTCCCCTCGGCTGCGGACCGCAAATACGGCGTCCCTGCGCGTCCGGTCGTCAGCCGGCGCCGGCCGCCGCCTGTCGGTGTCGGCCCCCGGGGGAGCGGGGAGCTCAGCCCCCGTCCGCTCCCGGCCGTCCCCCTGTGCGGGCGGATCCGGCACGCTGAAAGCTGATCAGACGCCAGCTGCCCGGGCACGTGCCGCCCCCTCACTTCCCGCGCCCCGGGGCGGAGACGCGCCGGCGCCCGGCCGTGGGAGCCTGTGCCACCCGATTGTGGGCGCGCACGCGGCGATAAAGGGCGCCCATCTGCCGGCGGTGGGGGCATGTTTGGAGCGCCAGCAGGTGTTGCTGCCAGGGAGATGAGACCGGGTGCGGCGAGATAGCCCGGCAGACGAGGCCGAGGCCTGACGAGATGCCCCGACAGATGACACTGGGACCTGGCAAAATATCGCGGACCGCACCAGTGCAACAGCAGTGCAACGGCGCACCATCACGAGTTTATCCCAGACGCACCGTCACAATGGTCTGTCACAAATCGGGGTACCGTCACAAATCCATCATCCACCGTCACACGTCTGTCGCAGACGGCCAAGCACATCAACACGAGACGAAAGACAATATAAAGTTCGATGAGCGATCGCTTTTTAGCGGTGGTTTTCTGCTTACCACGCATATCATGAGGGCATCTGTCCCGGTGAGTATTGTGAGAACAAAATTTTTAATTTGGAAAGATATATTTGACCACACTGTGGATTATTGGTGCGCCTTTATTCATAGAATCAGTAAACTTGCACACCGCTAAAAATGAAGTTATTCAGAATTTGTCTCGACTGATATTTGCAAAGGCTTTCCACTAAGGCGCTGGTTGTGACCACATAAGCCCTCGGTTTATCTGCGAGCAACATGGGTATCGGTGCGTTCTGCGGCATGGCATAAACACGAATCAACAAGTGTTCATTTAGATAGTTATAGGAGATCAGGAGAGAGTTTGAGGAACCTATATTAAAGGGACCCTCCCACCTTAACATTAGATTTGAGTTGAGATAGCCAAAATGGGGTCCCTGGCTCACAATTACCGGTTTCGACACTCACAACATCGAGAAATGCCTTAACTCAGAAATATTGAATTTCAAAATTGCAGCATTTTGATTCAGAGGGGCTAATGCTGAGGAATACCCCTCTGAATGTGTGACGTCAGCGCAGATATCTAACGATTTTTAAATGTTTGACTAAAACGTTTTGTAGCACGCGGAGGTATAAGCTATTTGCGCGCAACATCTGCCGCAAACGCCGCACTTCTAAAATAAAGTCGCTAGAAATAGCGGAGATCCCAAAAAGTAAACAAAAGTAAAAGTCTAATATCTTGAAAACCGGTGAATATTTTTCGATGAAAATTGGGAAATATTCGTTTTCGCTCTTTCTGAACCGAGCGACATCATTTTCATGCCAATTCATAAACTTTTTTGAAGGTGGGAGGGTCCCTTTAAAATGTGCACTAAATTAATGACAGAAGTGTGACAATCAAACATGGAGCATTCATTCAGTTGTGTGACCGTATTTCTCCCACCGCTGAAAAATCATCAGCGCTGTTTTTAAATTTATGAAACGGTGCATTGGTACACTAAGTACAAAACGAGTGGTTGTAGGGCATTGCAAAGAATTTGGGTGTTGTACCTTCTTTAGAATAAGAACGGAACGGACTTCTCAGTCTTATTCCAGCCGGATCGATTGAATTCGGCCTCCGTGCGGTAGGGCGTTAAATCGACATGTGTTGATCATAGGCATCACTGCACCACCTAGTTTGTAGTCTGTTATCACCGGCTCATCCCATGTTTGGTCGGCACCGCCGACTTGTGATTTGTGTTACGGGCTCGGTCAAACGAATGTTGTTCACACGTTCAACAGCATTTCGTTAGAGTAGTGTTTTTCTATTGAGAAACTAGCTGAACTGCTCTTTTTCAGCACCGATGACGGTACTGGTCTTTGGGCCGAGGTGTACTTCTAACCTGTGCCATGTTTTAGCTCATGACTGCCATGAGTCGTCCGTTCTTCCTTTTCAAAGGCAAGGGGCACTGTGTGTTCGGCTGAGGCACCGCTATTGGCCTGCGTTGTGAGTCAGATAAATGTCTGACCGCGTATATGACTGACCTGCATTGTGTGTTGCGTAGATATATAGCTGACTTGCGTTGTGTGCTACAGTATATGACTGACCCGCGTTGTGTGCTCGGGTATATCACTGACCTGCGTTGTGTGCTCCGGTATATGACTGACCTGCGTTGTGTGCTCGGGTATATCACTGACCTGTGTTGTGTGCTCGGGTATATGACTGACCTGCGTTGTGTGCTCGGGTATATCACTGACCTGTGTTGTGTGCTCGGGTATATGACTGACCCGCGTTGTGTGCTCCGGTATTTGACTGACCTGTGTTGTGTTCTCGGGTATGTGACTGACCTGTGTTGTGTGCTCAGGTATATGACTGACCTGTGTTGTGTGCTCGGGCTGTGCGGCAGGCGCGGGAGACTCGGCCCCGATGGGGTCGGCCCGCTCCGTCTGCTGATCCTGCTGATCCTGCGGATGCTGCTCACTGTCAGCCATCTGTCGAACACAAGAGACAGCATATGGTGAGTACCGAAAAGGTGTCACCTCGCCGTTTTATCAAAGCTTGGCTTTCTGAGACGATAGAAGAGAAATCAGATTTTGATGTCGTCAAATCATTTTTTGGTATTTATGAAATTGAAGCGTAAGAGATTCGATAAACGTCTAAATTTCCTGTTGCGTGGTCAGTAACCGCTAACTAGATAATGGGTATAAATATTTTATTTCTTGCGGTCGCTCAGCAGTAATCACTCACAGTTAGTTCAGCAACCCAGCCCGTTCTGGGTTTCTTCCCCAGTCGCAATGTTTGGTATCGTTCGCAAGTTACAATCAAAAGCAGTAGCTGCTCTGGGCGCCTGCTCTACACCCGTACCGCCCAGATGGCCTCGGTCGTAATATGCATAATCATTAGGTATATACTCAACCGTCGATTAGAATCGCAACACTCTCTGATACGTCATATTTGGTGAAATTTATTGCATCATTAGTTAGTTATTATCAACACATAATAGCGCATTATCATCCCGCCTTTAGCGTTGTTTGCTCTAGATGGGGTTGGCCCGGAGATTCGGTATAACTCCAAGGGGATGAGATACTCCATAATAGCAAGGTGTTAGCGCCAACTGGTCGCAAATTAACTGGAATTAGGTAATTTATCCACATCATGTTGATGTGTTTCACTCACCGGCTTCTCTACACTTTATTTCGACCGGGGACAGCGCTGCTGTTGATATATGGGGCGGAGTTTACCGTCTATATACTCTAGGTTTATCGGCCACCACCTGAGCTGACTGACAGATACTGTCCAAACAACTGCCGGCTACCGGCGAAAATCGTAATAAATACATAGTAGGACCGACTCACAATTATCTCATTTACAAAAAAAAGGCTTAAAAGGCCGGCTCAGTCGAGCTTTCGAAAACAATACATATAATCATAGATAGTGGCATACGGGACATTCAATAATTTTTTCACCTCAACAAGTTTTCCCCATAGTTTCATACGGTCTTGATTAAGGCGTGCAATGTCTACCGATTAGTACCTAAACGTTGAACGGGACGGGACAGTATTGTGCGCCGTCATGGGCCACTCAATTATCGTCAGACAAAATGTGAAGTCGTCAAACCGCCAAGAGATGTTTGTTTAATCATTTTTCAAATGCATTCATGATTCATGTAATGTGTTCGTCGTCATTGATTGAATGATTGAATCCATTACGTATTTTCTTCGATGTTTTTGTGATATTTGCCAGTTACTTTTTGTGCAAATCATTGTTTCATGTTCCGCTGATAATTAATGTAATCCCTGCTTTGAGTACATATAGCTCTAAAATAATATTTGTGAACAGTCAAATCAAAATATCAAAACAACATAACGGATTGCAGCAGTCTGTGTCTCGAACAGTCGGACAGCACCGGTGCCCTCTGGCCGACTGTGTTTCGATCGGTCCTGTGCACAGTCAGGGGTGGTGTAATCGTCCCGCTGTCACGACGGCACCACAGGAAGGCGGTCTGCTCAGCCGCCGCGCCGCCGCCAGACCGTGACAAAGGCGCTCGTGAGCAGCGAATCACCGCCAGTCAGTCGGGAGACGCCGCCGGGACAGGCTTTCGTACCGCCGAGGGCGAATGGCATGCAACGGCGAAAAAGTCCCGGCACTCCAAATAACAAAAATGGGGATTAAGGCTTTTGGTATAGCCAATGGAGATGAGTAACTGCATTTGATAAAGATCGGCATGGATTCCAGGGATTGGCAAGGTGACCCTGAAGACCGACAGGAAATGTCTGGCTGTCGGTGCAATGGGAACACTTTTGATTTCGGTCCAGCTCCTCCCACCTCTGAACACTGTCGAATGTCAACACTACGGTAGCGAACCAAAATACCTGTTTTTTTATTAATCCAACGCATCAATAATAATAACAATAGCCAAGAAAACTGAGAAATGTCGATTTTGCAACTTTTTCAAATTTCGCATATCAATTTTTGTTCTTTCGTATGGTGCATGTCTTATATTTTATAAATGGTTTAACTTGCAAACCACCTTGTCTAGCAAGCGATAAAATATAATTTTGCTGTCAGCTGTCTACCTTCTCACGGGTGGACGGCCAGTTTTGATCACCGGAAATCAGATGGTTCCTCCTATTCGTTCAAAAGCATGCACGTTAACTATAAATTATTGCGTTTTTCGCCATAAATTAAACAAGACGTTTCATCGGGCATGAAGTAAGATGGGTCGCATGCAATGCAGTGACAGTCATTACAAGCCAGGAGGCCGGCTACATTTTAACATTTGCATCATTACACACAACTCACATGAGAGGGTGCACAAAATTTTGGTAGTCGCTTATAACTTATCTATTTATAAATAAATGAGACCTCGTGTCCCCCAAATAATTCGTGAGCCATTATACGCTTCGATTAGAGATGTTAATCGGATACCAACTTTTTGGTATACCTACTGATACCAAACCGATACCAACTTGGTATTTGGTAGTTCAATCGTAATGTGTTTGGTATTTTGTTGGTATCATAAGCCCTCCTCACTAATGTATAAGAGGCTAATAAATCGGTAAAAAAGTTGGTATTTCCCTCAGTTTCCCAAGTTGGTTTGGTTTCGGTATTTTCCCGTGGTTTTGGTTGGTATTTGGTTTGGTATCGGTATTCCGATTTTCCGTAATTGACATCACTAGCTTCGATCATGTTTCCCTTCCGAACCCCCCAATTCACGAGCAGAAGCGTAACCGAAGAGGAGGTAAACGTCTAAAAAGCACGCAAAACAGTAACACCCGTCGATATCACGGGTCAACCCGAACACACACCAGCACTGACAGCCTGCCCCATAGACCAGAGCCGGCTCCGTGCAGCCGCGGAGGACGATCCCGTCGCTCCGCCGTAGGCAGCGGTGCCGGCTCGTCGCCTCACCTCGCGTGTTCCGTCTCCTGTGTGACGGCTCCGGTTCCCAGCGGCGACGCACTACTGTTTCATTCCGGTGTCACCCCCGCACGCGCCCGACTCCTGCAAAAACGCGCCGCCTTCTGCGGGCGCCCACGTGACGCGCCGGCTTCCTCCCCAGTGTTGGGCTCCTCCCACCGTCCCCTGGCCCGGTACAGTCTCTGGCAGCGCGGCCCGGTCCGCCGCGGCCGGCGCGGCGGACGGCGGGGCGGGAAGGGTGTCTGTCCCCCCCCCCTGTCCCCTCCCCAGCTGCTCCAGGTGTGCCGACATGACCGATGACCGCAGTTACCACCCATTACACGGACCACGCACACACGGGGGCACCGCTACACCGGAGCGGCGCTGCGAGCGTTTGTTTTGCAGCATCGGCGATACCGGCACTTAGCGTGTGAGCAGCGAGGGACATTCTGAAATCGACACTTATGTAGTGTGTGTGAAAGGGGTGCTTTCTGTGATTGAATTTGATATAAGCGTGCGAATTAAAAGAGCTCGTTTTGTGTTTGTGCGCCCGTGCGTTGTGTAAGTGAAGCCTTGCGTGATGCGTTTCGAGATCCTGTGTCTGTTTGTGTGAGTGTTAAATGACGGCGGCTCGGCTCTTCTTTGTCGTCTGTTTTGATCCATGTCCCATATGAGTGTCATTTCTCTAGTAGGTACTACTTACTAGGGCTAACTATATCCTTAGAGTGAATAAGGGAAGTGCTAAGAAAAGCAAGAAAGAATGCATCGTCTTGGAATGAGTACATGACGTAAATTCGATCTAAAACAGTAGCGGCGGAACACTTTCAATTAAGGGGGGGGGGGGGGGGGCACTGCCGACTTTTGGTCCCATTCTTTGCATGCAACGCCCATAGCGCTAATGTTAAAATGGCAAAATAAAGGGGGGCGCGGTGCCCCGGTTGCCCCCCCCCCCATTCCGCCGCCTATGATCTAAAACATTGGGTATGCTTTGATTTATTATTTCATATTCTGCAACTATAACTTTATACATATAGCACATTTAAACTATGAATAAAATCCGTATAATACATTTCTTAGTTCTCACTATAATATTAGAAAGTAAATGTGCTCTTTCACTACCATGTAATTCGTATTATTCAAATAACCTCATGTTCACATTTTTAACCGGACGAGGTTGAAGTGAACGTCTGCTATTTACGTGCATTTTCAGCTTTTCCTCGGTCTACAGAAGCACTTACCTTCAGATAAAAAAGAGGCAGATATTATTGTATTCCTCGGATAGGTTGCGAGTGCGACTAAAGGCAATTCAAGGAGCCCCTGCCGTTTGCTTCGCGCTGTTTGCAACCATTTAAAATTCTTTGATAATATCGCTAAATGAGATAGTATAGTAAAAATCAGTGAGTCCAGAGGCTTCCATGATTCGAACGATACATAACTTCTCCTGATGCATAAATTTAGATGGCTGAATAAATAGTGGATGAGAAGCATGCTTGCGCGATTATCTAGTCACGATTCTAATTCCTATGCAATTGTGTATCAAGATGGTAAACATGAAATTTTAGTTACATGGAGCCGCTGTAAGGATTTTTACAATTCCTTACACACACGTCCACTTCCCACATAGGAACGACGACCATTATAAAAGGTCAGTGACAGCGCTCCTGACTTTCTGGTTCGCTTCCAATTTAACCAGAAATACCTACTTGAACGGTTCCCGTTCATGGGAGACCGGGAGCATTTCTCTCGCATAGCAGCTCCGATTGAGGATCTGCCCGGTGTCGGTTTGAGACGCGGGGGTGCGCTGGGCTGGCGATGATTCACGGCCTGGGGACAGGGCGCCTAGTCCGACGGTGTGTCCCATTGGGGCGACCCTGTCGGCCCTGTCCCCGGGCCGGCAGTCGGAGACCGTACCGGCGCGGCAGCTGCCTGGATTCCGGCCCATTGTGCAGCCGCCGCGGCCCTCGCCGCTCCCCATTGACTGGCCAGCAGCGGGCCGCCGTCCGATCTCCGACACCTGGGCCGCGCCGCGCTGGTCACCGGCGCGCCGCTTCCGCCGCCGCTGCTCCCATTGAGCGCGGCGTGTTGACCGCCG